TGAGGAAGGAGGTTTAAACAATTTTCACCCCTGCGTAGCACAGGAGCGGAGCCTGAAAAAAATTGTAGGGTGGGCTCACTAATATGTTTTAATTTTTTTTTAATAGAAAATTATATATATTTTTTAAAGTTCATAAAATTATATTTAATGTTTTTTAAACATAGAAAATTAAAAATCGATATACAAAACATGAACAAAAAAATAATAATTAAAATTTCTTATCGAGAATACAACTAATTATTATCACTTACAATTGATCATAATATATTTTTATTATTTGAAAGAGTTATAAATTAATTTTATCAACAATATTTCTTTTATACATATAAAATCATGGTAACAATCTTCGATTTATGATCATATAGTTTATTACATAGCAACATACATTTTTATAATGAAATAACCCTATAATTTTTAAAAAATAATAAAATAACATCAATATTTCAAAGCACATTCACACATGTCTGAAATATGTCTAAAAATTAACAATAATATTAATTACACCTAATTTGAGATTTAATTAATGAAAACCCAATAATTTATGATCATTGGATAAATAATAGAGTTTATTAAATATTAAAATTCATTATTATACTTAATGTCGCAACGTACTAGATCCTTAAACTAGAGGTCTATTCAAATTGATATAGCTAGAATACAATATTAGAGTAAACACAATTAAGCATATTTAAATTTTATTTCAAAAACTTCATACCTAATATCAAGCAAAAAAAATTAAGGGGAGCATATGCCTACCATCCTAGCCCCTGGTTGGCTCCGCCCCTAGTAGCACTCCACAAGTTGTGTACTGATAATTTAGGACTTGCGATTTCAAGGAAGGTCACATTTGCGATTTCAAGGAAGGTCACATTATTCTGATTTCCATGTGTCGAGGTCATCTGTAGGTATATAAGTTGGGCACAAACCTAACATAGCCTGTATTATTTGTGTTGACTAAAATTTAGAGTTAATTGTACTATAAGTCTTTAAAGTGTAATATTTATCTCATTTTAGTCTTCAATATTTCAATTGTATCATTTTAGTTCTTGAAATATTGAATATATTTATATATGGTCTTTCAAGTAGACAACATCTAAATTGCTAATAATTTTTTATTATAAACTTANTGGATGTAAGTCTAGTTGCATAAACCTTTATATTTATAGAGAGGATAGGTGGATGGACCATCTACCATGGAGGCATTCTTTCTATTTTTAAGATGTCTGGACTTTGTTTAGTGCAGTAGAGAGCTGAGGAAGGAGGTTTAAACAATTTTCACCCCTGCGTAGCACAGGGGCGGAGCCTGAAAAAAATTGTAGGGGTGGGCTCACTAATATGTTTTAATTTTTTTTTAATAGAAAATTATATATATTTTTTTAAAGTTCATAAAATTATATTTATTGAAATTATATTTAATTTTTTTTAAACATAGAAAATTAAAAATTGATATACAGAACATGAACAAAAAAATAATAATTAAAATTTCTTATCGAGAATACAACTAATTACTATCACTTATAATTAACCCTAATATATTTTTATTATTTGAAAGAGATAAATTGATTTTATCAACAATATTTCTTTTATACATATAAAATCATGGTAACAATCTTCGATTTACGATCATATAGTTTACTACATAACAACATACACTTTTATAATGAAATAACCCTATAATTTTAAAAAATAATAAAATAACATCAATATTTCAAAGCACATTCACACATGTCTGAAATATGTCTAAAAATTAACAATAATATTAATTACACCTAATTTGAGATTTAATTAATGAAAACCCAATAATTTATGATCATTGAATAAATAATAGAGTTTATTAAATATTAAAATTCATTATTATACTTAATGTCGCAACGTACTAGATCCTTAAACTAGAGGTCTATTCAAATTGATATAGCTAGAATACAATATTAGAGTAAACACAATTAAGCATATTTAAATTTTATTTCAAAAACTACATACCTAATATCAAGCAAAAAAAATTAAGGGGAGCATATGCCTACCATCCTAGCCCCTGGTTGGCTCCGCCCCTAGTAGCACTCCACAAGTTGTGTACTGATAATTTAGGACTTGCGATTTCAAGGAAGGTCACATTTGCGATTTCAAGGAAGGTCACATTATTCTGATTTCCATGTATCGAGGTCATCTGTAGGTATATAAGTTGGGCACAAACCTAACATAGCCTGTATTATTTGTGTTGACTAAAATTTAGAGTTAATTGTACTATATAAGTCTTTAAAGTGTAATGTTTATCTTATTATGGTCTTCAATATTTCAATTGTATCATTTTAGTTCTTGAAATATTGAATATATTTCTATATGGTCTTTCAAGTAGACAACATCTAAATTGCTAATAATTTTTTATTATAAACTTACTACTTAATACCTATATATAGGCAAAACAATAATTTAGATAACTCTTGACAAAATTTTTATTCAAATTTTGGTAAAAAAGTTACCTAAATTACACAGTTTTGATTATAAGCTATTCAAATTTTAGTTAAAATTACCCATATCATATATTTTTGGTTAAGAGCTACCAAAATTTTGATCAACAGTTATCCAATTATTTTTTGCTCGTATTTAGGTAATGGTCACAAATTTATGATAAAAAATCTATAGCAATTTGGATATTATTTGCTTGAGGAATTACATAGAAAAATATTCAATACGTCAGAGAATAAAATGATACAATTAAAATATTAAAAATCAAAATAAGACAAATGTCATACTTCGAGGACCGTCAATACAATTAACCCTAAAATTTAATTTGAACTCTTAAAGTCCTAGTTATCAACTCGACACTTTTATCGGTGCAGTAAGTGCACAAGATCCTTCTACTTGGGGTTTTTTGGGAGATCCAAATAATAGATTTTTAATAAAAGCAATAATGACAGTATGAATTGAAGAGATTGAGACAAATCAATACATGGACTTTAAGAGCAGTTAGAGTTGTTCTATGGTCAAAAAAAAAAATCAATACGTGAGTGTCGCATTAGTATAGAACAATACCTCATGCAAAAAATAATTTGGCAATAGGATATGGCAATACTATTTAGGAAAATAATATACCTTGCATTCATTGGATGAATATTGAATAAGCGAGTCTTACTGAAAAAATTGATGGATCTCACTCATCAAAGAAATAATATACATTTGAATTATAATTTTTTGAATTTCAGTTAAATTATATATCATTATTCTACTACTTAGTTGACACCTTGGTTTGTGGGAATAGATCCTCTACTATACAATAGAGGTACTATTCTTCAAAACGATGTCATTTTTCACATAAAACGATGCCATTTTGTGTGTAAAATAACATTATTTTGAAAATCAATACCTATGCTAAACAACGAAGAATTTGGACTCTTGGATTGTTGGTTCTCTTTGGGTTGGAATGAACACCAACTGCTTATGATTTACAATATACGTAGTTTTTGATGAAATTATAAATATTATATTTACAGTCGATGCCTAAAACATTTGCATTGAAATCCGAAGCCACCCAGCTGTGTTCATAGTGGTGGCTTCATTTGAAGGAGCATAATCTTCCACAACTTCATAATAAGATATTAGCTACGTTGTGTAGCTTCGAGCCTCAACTGTCAACCACTTCAATGCATATAGTCATTGTTGTGTTTATTAAAAATCTATTATTTGGATCTCGTAGAAAAAACCCCAAGTAGAAGGATCTTGTGCAATCACTGCACCGATAAAAGTGTCGAGTTGATAACTAGGACATTAATAGCTCAAATTAAATTTTATGGTTAATTGCGTTGACGGTCCTCAAAGTATAGGATTTGTCTCATTTTAATTGCATCATTTTAGTCTATAACGTATTGAATATGTTTATACTTAGTCCCTCAAGCAAACAACATCCAAATTTCTAACGGTTTTTATCATAAATTTGTTACGTAATACTTAAATATGAACAAAAAATAATTTGGGTACCTCATGATCAAAATGTTAGTAGCTCTTAACCAAAAATGTATAAAATGGGTAGTTTTTTGTTAAAATTTAGATAGTTCATGATCAAAACTATATAATTTTGATAATTTTTTGACCAAAATTTGGATAAAAATTTGATCAAGAGTTATCCAAATTATTATTTTGCCTATATTTAGGTATTAATTAAGTGATAAGTTAATAAAAAATAGTTATCAATATGGATGTTGTCTGCTTGAGGGGTCACATAAAAATATATTCAATACTTTAAAGATTAAAATAATATAATTAAAATATTAGAGACTAAAATGATACACACTCTATCCTTTGGGGACTCCTAATACAATTCACCCTAAATTTTAGTCAACACAAATAATAAAGGCTATGTTAGGTTTGTACCCAACTTATATACCTACCGATGACCTCGACAAATAGGATCAAGGCGAATAATGTGACCTTGCTTGAAATCGCAAGTCCTAAATTATCGGTACACAACTTGTGGAGTGCTATGCAGTGGTGAAAATTGTTTAAATCTCCTTCCTCAGCTATCTACTGAACTAAACAAAGCCTTTCACATTTTAAAAATAGAAAGAATGCCTCCATGGTAGATGGTCCCTCCCCTTACCCTCTCTATAAATATAAAGGTTTGTGCACCTAGACTTACATCCTCTCATAATCACTCTTAATTAAGCAGGCATTTGTGATCCTTCTTTTTCTTTCTCTCACTGTAAGTTCATTTTAAGACAAGAGAAAAAGATGAAGCTTGCCTTTACCACTTTGCTACTTGTCACACTCCTTCTGGGCTCCACTTTCATGGATGTCACCATGGCTGAGTCAGGTAAAAGTTAACACCTATGCTTTTCTTACCGCCCAAATTCACATTGTAAAATATTATCAATTTTAGGCTAGGCCACTCGAGACGTGGGTCAGTGTGTATAGACTTTGCACTATCAACTCACCCTATATGCGTGGTGTACTCTAAAGCGTGCGGGTTAAAGAACTTTTTTAATTTTTAGTTTATTTTATTTCTTACCATGGGTTTTTGTGGTTGTGTATACCCTGGTCAGGCTCTTGTAAACACAAGTGCAAACTTAGGTGCTCTGAAGCTAAAAAGCCGCATTGCATGAAGGACTGCCATCACTGCTGCAAGAAATGCCACTGTGTGCCTTCGGGGAAGTCTGGGAACACAGATGAGTGCCCATGCTACAGAAACGAAAAGAACAAAAGGGGCGAGCCAAGGTGCCCTTAAATGAAGCTCATGCATGCAAACATGCGGATTTGGATTTTGTTCAATACACTTTTTCTTAAACTTTTCTTAACGGTGGATCCCTCACCATGTTTCATTAAGAGATACATTTTTTGATCTTACTTGAATTTGTTGTCATGGGTGATCTATCATTAAGAAAAGTTAAAGAAAGGTCTATTGAATAGGAACTTGGTCCGTACATCTGTGTCTGTGGGTGTCAGTCCCACTTTCTTTTTTTAGTCATTTCAATATGTGGTGGAGAGGCATAGGTCACAAAAGGTAGCATTCAGAGGCTACTAAAGTTGAAATAAGTGGAAAGTCCTCCTGTTTTTGGATGTGTTGTAGTGTCTGATCATTGTGATCTTGGTTCAGTTGTTCATTTTCTTCCAATTTGCAAAGCATTGCCTCTTTGTTTGCTATTTCTATCGGATATCAATGAACAAGTAAGTGATAACCCCAGTCAAAACAAAAGTAAATCATAGCCACATTACACCGGTTAATTGGGCAATGTCATTAGGACCTAATTTGCTCACTTAATTCACTATAACATTTGGATTGACTGTAAGTTTTATTAAACATTGAAACTTGGTATTAATCTAATGGTTCTAATAAAGCCACATAATTAAGTTAACAAATTATGTCAAATTTTTAAGTCTAAATAGTATTACTCTAATTTTAAATCACTGTGAGGGGTGCTCAAGTAATGAGAGTACCCAACACAGATTTGCCAACCTCTTGCATTGTATTACCATAAGAAAAACCAAAAATTCATAAAAAACTAGAGAGATTGCTCTTGTGATTCAAAATAATTATTAAATATTTCCTGATATTTAATAATTAATTACCGCAAAACCTAGATACTATTATTTTTTTTAATAAAGAGTTCATTAACCTGTAAAGTCGGATATCATTTTTTTAGAGATGACATTCTATCTCTAATGGTTGCCAAATTAGGCTTAGTGTGGTTAGGTAGTCTCTGCATTGGTTGTTGATGACTCCACAACTCTTTTTCTCCACCGAGTAGAACAAACTCAGTCTCCAATACTGCCAATAAGGTGTTTCCCCTTTCCCATTGTTGAGCACCAAGTTGCATGAGCTGCTTCCAGATCCTTTGTGAATATTGGCAAGGAGATTGCGGGCCAGCTACATCTATCTAACATAAAACCACGCTTTTCCTCTCTCAAGACAATGCTCCCATCCTATCGGTCAAAAAACAATTAGCATACTCCATATATATCCAAAGTGAATGCTTTGAAAGACCCATAATTCTAGTCTATAGGGGTTTTGGGATAGGAATAGACAGGATTCACTTCATATCTAGTACAAATCCAATCTAATCCCCTTTTTTTTTTTTTTTGAATTTCTTAATTTTCTATTTTCACATAAATTTAATTGTTCCCTACGTAGCTTTCTAGGGCTCATCTAAGTGATGTAGGTGGTACACATGCACTAAAATAATAGTGAGCATGTGATTCAGTTGCCTCTCTACATAATATGCAGTCTAACCCCATATGAGCATGAGATGATTGAATCCTATACTTGGTACTAACCCTTCATCTTCTTGCAAGCAAGAGGATAACCCCATTTGAGGTATTTGATGATGCACAAATTGATTTTATGCACCACATGCGAAGTAATTAATGCAGTAAATAAATAAGGAGAGTCAACATAAGCAAATACAATTTATGTGGTTCGGTCAAGGTGACCTACTCCACTACGAAGGACAATGATGGCCTGAGTGTTTTATTGTTTCAAGGAGTGTTGGGTGTTCAAGTGTAAGTAATAGGCAAGATACAAGATGTGAGAGATGCCCCCATGTGTAGGCGAGACTTACAATTTATAGGCGTCTTCTAACAAATTGAGACGCCTTATAAATAATAGAAAGACTGATTTGGTGGAGTGGGCGCCATCCTCACAATAGGTGAGGCAGTTGCTGAGAGGACATGCAGATCTTCTCAAGATCAAGTCCTAGGATGGTGTGGCAGATCTCCTCATTCTAGGATGGCATGGATGAGGCTCTAAGATGGCGTCGCTAACTCTTTCACTCCAGGATGGCGCAACTGTCAAGGCTTCGGTGAGCCTGACTTAATCTGGGTCTCTTCTGGGCCAAATCCATTGGATTTCATCTAGACCGGGCCTACTATCCGAGTTGGGCCTTGCCTGGGGCCAGGCCCACGACTCAAGTTGGGCCTTGGCTAAGTTGGGCCCACTATCCGAGTTGGGCCTTGGGTTGGGCCCACCGTTTCCCCCCATGTGTCGAGTACAATAAGATTTGAAGGAAAGGGCATTAACTGAGCTTGAATTCTAGTTGACGAAGACTTTTCTTGACTGATGACCTTTTCCTTTTGATATGACTTGTTCATCTAAGTCATCCCCATTTGATTAGGAAACCTCCATCCTAACCTATCACTTGAGAAAGAAATCTTTGGAGAGATGTCAAGGAGTGATGGCAAACAAACAAAGACCGATGAGGTTGTCCCTGAGTAGCGTGGCAGGAGACAGCTGGAGGGTGGCACAGCAGGGAGAAGGGAATTACGAGAGGCTACTGAAATTGGTGAGGAGGCTGGTAGCCTGAGCTTGCGTCTGTGTAGTGGGTGCCAGGCAGACGTTGGAGACGTGACAGACGACATATGTAGCTAGCGCCGAGGAGGCTGGAGCCAGAATGGCAATGACAACAGACGCCACGGGAGCGGATAGTGCAAGCGCCACGGGTGAGGTGGGCATAGACGTTGTTGGTGTGGGCGTCGTCAATGCAGGAGTAGGCACTGTGGGCGTGGACACCGCGGAGACCACGAGCGCTGGTCTGGGTGATTCACGCGAGGGCACCTGAAGCATGGGCGTCGTGGTGAAGGGCGCAAGCAGTGCCAGCGGGTGCAAGCAAGGGAGCAAATTGGAGCACAGATGAGGGTGGGCATATGGGTAGGTGCAGGTAAAGGAGCAGGAGCAAGAGGGGTGCCAAAAGCAGAGCGCCTAGTTGCAAGCGGATTGAGTTCCACGGACGTGCCTAGAGATGACAAAAACAATGTTACTCTAACATCAAAATATCCAACATGATTACCTAATGAGAATGGTAGACATATCAGGCTATAGAGAAATAGTTGATAAGTTGGAAGGGGCGACTTGCGTGAGAGGAGAGGTAGAGTTTGAAGGCTGGTCATGGAAGAGTTGCACCTCTTAAGACCAAATTTTTGACAACCTGCGAGAGAGCTGCTAAGTCAGAGGTAGGCTGACTGTCAAGCTACCCACACCATAGTAGAGGCAGAGTTTGAGGGTTGCTCATGAGAAAGTTGCACCTCTTGAGACCAAACTTTTGGCGACTCGTGAAAGAGTTCTTAAGCTTGAGGTAGGCTGACTATGAGGCTGTCCGTACGAGAAAAGGGACGAAGTTTAAGGGTTGCCCGTGAGAAAGCTGCACCTCTTGAGACCGAGCCTTTGGTGACCCGCAAGAAAGCCGCTAAGTTGGAGGTAAACTGACTGTGAAGCTGCCTTCACGAGAGCAGAGGTAGAGTTTAAAGGTTGTCTGTGAAATAGCTGCACCTCCTAAGACTGAGCATTTGGCGACCTGCGAAAGAGTTGCTAAACTGGAGATTAAGGCTGCTTGCGTGAGAGTAAAATTAGAGTGAGGCCAAGCTTCTGTCGAATTGCAAAAGAGCCGCTAATCTGGAGATTCAGGCTGCTTGCACGAGAGCATAAGTAGAGTTAGATTGAGCTTTTGGAAACTCGGGAACTTCTCCCTCAAGAGACGGGTTAGATGAGGGAGATGGCAATTAGGGTAGATATAGGGCGCCAATAGTAAGAGACCCACGCCGATGCGGATAGTGAGGCACTATGTGGGAGGCATAAAGCCAGCGGAGCGTGGACATCGGGCGCGAGAAGCGAGGGTGCTTGAGGAGGGGGCTCCAGATGAGAGGAGACAGACGCCAGGGGAACTGCTTGAAGAGTTGGGCATGCGCGATACAACGGGCAACATAGGCGCTTGGCGCATGCATGCGTAGGCCCACAGATGCAAGCATGCATAGGCACACAAGCGTACGCCAGGCGCACGGGTGCAAGCGCATGGGCACAAGTGTACGGGTGTAGGCACATAGACGTAAACGTTTGGCACGTAGGTAGTGGCTTTGGGAACCGCTGATGAAGGTGCTAGGCACCAAGGGCGACGGCACTTGGCATTGCAAGCTTGGGCGCCGCAAGTGTTGGGACGCTGGGCGCTGGTTGTTGGCACCTGTCTGGGCGTTGGCGCTATGCGCCTAGCTGGTGGTTGGTGGTTTCTATTTATTGCACTCCCCTCTACGTGAGGACACAGCTCGTCTGGCTTTGATGACATCTTCAGTGTTCATGTATTTTTGGCTTTTGATAATAATTTTAGCATGTTCTTTAGCGGGCGCTTCAAAACTGAAAACATAAGACTGGATGAGCGCAACCCTTCTGTGAAGGCCGCCATGATGACTTTGACATCTGGTTATTCAATCTAGAGGACTTCCTCGTTAAAACGAGTGAGGTAACTCCTTAGACTTTCTTCCCGGTCCTTCTTGATGCTGCGCAGGTGGGTGGTAGGTTTCTGGTGTTGGCATCCTCCAATGAAGTGTGAGATGAATGATTTGCTTAGTTCAGCAAAAAAGTCAATAGAAGTCAGGGTAAGCTTGGCAAACCATTGGTGAACAGATCCCTTGAGGGTGGTCAGGAAAGCTCTCCACATGATCTCGTCTAGTATATTTTAAAGCTGCAGCAGGGATTTGTAGGTGTCAAGGTGGTCCAGTAGATCTTTGGAGCCATCAAAAGCTTCCACGATTGGCACCTTGAACTTCGTAGGGAGAGGGTAATTGGCCACATCGGCTACAAAGGGCGTGTCGGTGTGCCTCTGTCACGTCCCAATTTTCATTAAAGCGTGATTTAATAAAAAGAGATATTTATCCCAAATTCTCTTGCCGGTTTACAATAATAATTGAATGAAATGAAACATTTGATTTTTATCAAAACATATATATATATATATATTTTTTTCAAAAATTTTGGCAGAGTTTCTTTTGAAAATTGGGCTTCTAACCAGCTTGTAAGAGCATTCTTGTGAGAGCATAACATAATTTAAACTAACTAAACATTCAAAACATGTCTCCATAAAAAATATAATTCAACTAAATCCGGGGTGACAATTAGATGTCCACGAAATCCTCCTAAACCCAGATACATCAAATACTAATATATACCATAACTTAGTACACAAAGTCATACCTTTATATTACAATACCCAAAATAATAATCTTTCTATGAGATGATCAAGTATACACCATTAATACCTCAAGACAGCCTTTTCAAACACACTGTTTGAGTGCTAACATTTCTACATAAGTTCTAAAGGTAAATACAAAAAGGTTGCAAAAGATATTCTTCCTAGTCCAAACTCCCACAAAAATCCCTCAACACCTCATCATTAGAAATATACAAAGTATAAATTAAATTTTTATTTATTTAAAGTCAAACCATTATAGCAAATACCATGCATGCCTCGCATACGGACTATGTAATCAATCACACTGGTTCACGTATGAACCATCCGCAGGAAAACTTTTGGGTCTTGCACCCTAGGGTCTCATCGCCCTTCTTGCTATTCAAGGGGAACGTGTAGGGCATAACTTGTGACGCCACATCGGCCATCACAGAAAATCACTACCATAACCAATCCCCCTTAGGACTAATAGTTGTTTTGGCAACCCACTCAATAGGCTCCAATTATCTACTAACCCTTTGTCTGTCAATATCGAGCATATATTTTTTAAAAATTATTATTTTTTATATCCATAAATCCTTTTGAAAACTCATGTCATAATCTTGACATTTTATCAAAACATATAGTATACTCAAATCTCAAAATTTGCATTTTCAAAGCAACACACCCAATTCCAAGAAAATAGTGATGTATATTATGTACAAGATCATAGCACACTTTAAAACCCTCAAATTATAGGTTTAATCAAATACTCATCACTAAAATCAAATTAGGGTTCAAAACATATAGTATACTCAAATCTCAAAATTTATATTTTTAAAGCAACACAATCAATTCTAAGAAAATAGTGATGTATATTATGTACAAGATCATAGCACACTTCAAAACCCACAAACCATAGGTTTAATCAAATACCCATCACTAAAATCAAACTAGAGTTTCAAACCCACAATACTAAAATCATTCTTATGCATGTAGGTTCACAATTTATGGCATACTCCATAATAAATCAAGTTTTATAACAAGTATGTTGCCATCAAACACATAGTAAGCTTTAACTAAAGAAAATAAATGAGATACACAATGTAAAATGCAAGAGAGAGGATAATTTCATCTAGAAATCAAGAATTTCAAACCAAGTTCCTGGGATTTTCAATCAAAATCGAAGCTTCAGAGACCTTTTTCTTCCATTTTCTCTTTCCCTTTATCTTCTCCTAGGGTTCTAAGAGGTTTTGGGTGAGAGTGGAATGAAAGAATGAAAGAAAAGAGGCTGAAATCTAGGTTTTAAACCTAGCAGTCCCGAATTTTTACTGTTCATGAGCAAAAAATATATATTTTTCTCCAAAATTACGGTTTTGCCATTAAACATTCCAATTTGATCCAGATGACTACTTTAAGGTTTTTCGACGTTCCAAATTTATTTTTAATGTTATTTTAACCTAAAAATTTTTAATTTTATGATTTATCTCAAAACTAAAGTTAATTTACACCCGAAGCACTAAAATTATTATTTTATCCCTCCGAACCGCTATATAAGTTAAACGTTCATTCCAAGTTTTTTTTCGGACCTCTCAGATTCAATAATAATATTATTTTGACCTTAAAAAAATTAATATTTTTACTTAGTTACCCTTATCAACCTCAAACACCTCCAAAAATTAAATTTAATTCAAACGTCAATACGTTCGTGCCTCAAACTTACGCGACTATTCCTGTAACAACGATTCGAAGTTTCTCTCATCATTTTAAAAATACTAGCAAGTTAATATCATTTATATTTATATAACACACGTGATCTCACAACCTCGCGAGATACTCAACCGTTTCAAGTCCTTGAGCCTTCATGGCGTTGAAGACGTCACCAAGTTGGTTTTGCACTTCGTTTATTTTCTTGTCCCGATGCTTAGGGACTCCTTTGGAAAGGTCATTGAAGTGACTTTCGTGGTCCAAACTCTTGTTTTCCCCTTGTCTTCTTGGGGAGGACTGTCACCAGCATGGAAGGACGGAACAGGTGGAGAAAAAGGAAGGGCCACCCCTTGCCGTTGAGGAGGGGCTCCCTGGTGCTGCAAGGGGGTGCCCTTGCGAGCGGCCTGGCGATGGACTCCCAGCTAGGGGCCTCTTAAGCACCCTGGCCAAGTTTTCATAGGTGTTTTCCTCATGGGTGCGTATCTCCTTGTCTAGCAAGCATCAGCTGAAGGATCTGTTGGTTTTGACTCACCAACTACTGCATCGTCTCTAGTAACATTTGCTGCAAGTCAGTAACGAAATTGATTGGCGGAGGCAAGACCTCATCCTCAAGTGGTGGATCGTCCTCAGGTTGATTCATAGATCTAGTGTCGATTGCCATAAATACAAAAGGATGGTGATTTGGTGGAAACTTAATCGGTTCCCATAAACGGCGTCAAACTGATGATGCATAAATTAATTTTTTGCATCATCTGTCAAGTAATTAATGCAGTAAATAAATAAAGAGAGTCAACACAAGTAAGACATAATTTAAGTGGTTCGGTCAAGGTCACCTACTCCACTACAAAGGGCTAGGATGACCTAAGTGTTTTATTACTTCAAGGAGTGTTGAGTGCTCAAGTGTGAGTAATAGGCGAGAT